GAGGCCAGTCATGTCTGTAACTCTCTTCTTTCCCCCATCCCACTCCCTGGGACAAAGGGATAACATTCCAGGACAGCAAGGTCAGCAACTTAGAGCTCTCTGGAAGGGCAGCGAGCTGAGGGGTTCAGGGGACCTGGGCCTGAGTCCTGGCTCTGCTGTTGGGCAGGTCACACACCCCCACACACATAGCCCCAGTCTCTGAGCCTCTGGAGCCTCATATGTAACAGGAGGGGCTTGAGCTAGACTGTCCCTAAGGTGGATTCTAGCTTTGACATGATCTTGGAGGCTGGGTCAGAGACTGGCGAGGCTGGGCTTTCTCAAACTTGGAAGGTGCCCTGCCAGGAGAGGACAAGCCTTCTGGACTAGAGCCTCCCTGCAGTTTAGATGAGTCGTAGGGCAGGGTCTGGGTTCCCAGGAAATCCAGGGTAGTTAAATCTTCTTTGCGCGCTAGGAGGGGCAGGGAGGTCCAGTGAGAGGCGGGTGGGGCAGGGAGAGGGAGAAAGATGAAGCTTGCTGTATTGCTCGGTGTTAACCTAGGAGGGTGTTTCTTCCTTTGTTGGCCTAGTCTTGCTTTGTAAGCGTCCTTTTGGACCTTCTCTCAGCTGGGAAGAGGAGGCTGGTGGCAAGGACACTGGCTTGGATTAAGCCCACCTTCCGTCCCTGGGCTGGGAAGCCTTCCGTCCGTCTGTCCATCCTCCCTCCTCCTTGCTAGAGCAAACGGTGGAGAGAAGTCCTTCCTGCTTCTACCACCTCTCTTTTGTCTCCAGCTTTGTTGGGGTTTGGATTAAGTGTGAAGCTTTGGCTAAAATCCTTGGGTTGCCTTAGAGCGCTGACACTGAGAACTTGGGATTACAAGGAAGGGGGAGGACCAAGAAAGCGCAAGAGGAATGCTTTGATAGAAGTGGATTCTCTCCATTGCCCTGTCTGTGACCCAAGCTTGACCACGTCCATACGTTTGCAGGCAGCACGTCTAGGGTGAAATCTTGGAGGAAGGATTAGGGAGAGAATCTTTCTGGACTGTGTGGTCTCAGAAGTATCCTTTCTGCGCCATACCATGCTGTGTCTTTAGCTCTTCAGGGCAGCCAAGGCCAGCCCTTCCTCCCTAGGGGCCCCCGGGAGAAATAGCGCTCTCCTCTCTTCCCCCAGGTGGTAGGGCACCCCCTGACTCCACCTGCCCACTCCAGTAGGAAGCTTGAGGACCTCTCTTCCTGACTCTCTCCTCCTCCGTCCTTCGTCTCTAGGCTGTGGGACAATCATCCCATCCACCACTTAACACCCCCGACCCTCATCCCCCAGCTTCCAGCAGGCTGGCCCCACTCCCCTCCACCTCTAGGTTTTCTTCCAGAAGATGCATTTTTGGGTCCGAGAGGAGCACTTTCTGGAAGGCCACCTTTTAGCGGCCCTGCTTGCCTGACGTGCAGCAGGAACTTGCCCACGGCGCAGAGAGCTGCCCCCGCCTCCCCACCTCTCTGCCCGCCTTGTTACCTCACTCCTGCTCCAGCCGTGGCTGCGATGGACCCAGCCAGCTCCCTGTTTTGGCGTTCCGGGGGAAGCTCAGGGGTCTGGGCCATCGTTTCCTGTTGCGACTTGAGGTCCTCAGCAGGCCTGGAAGCCTGGACTGGAGCCTTGGCTGCTGGCGAGAAGCACTTTGCCTGCCAAGAGGAGTTGATGCCAGACGATGTACCCGACATGTGAAGGCATTAAAGAACATTGTCACCTCTGCCCCTTGGCCCTCCTTGCTTCTCTCAACACGATGAGACACTGCAGAAGCAAAAAATGGTGGCCTCTGCTCCAGGCAAGACAGCTGGCTGTGTCTGGGGAGTTGGCCCTGGGCTTGGGTGCCACGCACTGAGATGGCAGAGTAAAAGCAAGCATTTTTGCCAGCGACAGTGTGTGGCTCCCCGCATTTCTCTGTCCTGCACTCTAGGGCCAGACCACTCTCTGCATGGACCAGATCATCTTCCCAAACCCATGGTGCTTTGCCCCCGACTCAACCTAGACTCCAAGGTGGGGAGGGATGGGTCCGAGGCCATTGCGGCCCCTGGAGAATCCTGACATGGGGGTGGGGGTGGGGTGAGGCAGAGGGAGCATCCCCAACCCCTGCCCTGGGCCATTATGGGAAAGAACACAGGTTGATTGCAGTTGAGTTGTCTGGCCATCTGTATTTGGAGCTATAACTGTACTTTGCCTGGCGCTGTGCGCAAGGTCTAAAAGCTTAACTGCTAGTACCTAGAGACAAACGAGGCTTCCGGTCAAATCGTCATGTAAAGTAGCTAGAGCCATGGAAGTACAGTATGAATTAAAAGCAAAAAAGTCTTGAACTACATGTAATAAACGGTGTGTGTTCATTGCCTGATTCGTTAGTCCTCGTGGCCCCAGATGTCTTTGGTCTTCCCAGGTGTGATCACAGCAAGCCCTGAAGGCATGTGTTCACAGGCACACACGCAGACACACGTGCACAGCCAGCCAGCCAGGACCTCCTTCCCAGGGGAGGGCGGCAGCCTGATGAAGTGGAACGGATGAGAGGTTTGGGAATCAGCTCTGAGTCCAGATCGCAGCATCACTATTTACCAGCTGTGTCCTTGGGCCCCGACCGTTACTGCCAGCCTCAGTTTATTTTAGAGATAACATAAAATATATGTGTGTGTGTCTGTGTTTCTTAGTATAGTGGCTAGTACTATATGAAGATAATTTTATATCATTATTAATCATTGTGAATGATTTTATATCATTATTAATCATTATCGATCAGTAGTATTGTTATTCTAGGAGTGTATGGTAGACTGAATCCCAGTGACAATTTCTTGTGTAACTTTTCCCTTTTGGGGCCTTGGCGCTTCTGGGAAGACACACACTGGGGGACAGCGTTGTTTTATTTCCTTAATGTTAGCCAACCTGGTAAGGGAGTGGGGTCCCTCCCTTCACTAGGTCTTCCTTGCTGGGAGCCCCTCACCAACTTTTTGATGTCATTCAGGTGAGAACACTCTGGCTCTTGGATTCCTTTGTATTTGGGTAGGGAAGGAAAGAAGGGAGACAGTATGTTTAATTCTAGACTATTAAATGTATTTTTCATTTTCTGGGCATATATCCAGTGATTGTGAGTTCAGGAATTGATGTGGGCTGGGGAGGTAGGTAGAAGCCATAGTATGTGTAGCAGACACACACCGTGGAGCAAAACCAGAGCAAGCAGTGTTTAGAGACGCTTTATTGACATGAACAGGGAGTTTACTGAAAAACACCACATACAGGCATTAGGCTGTTGAGAGCTTGAGTGGTCAGGAACAACATTTCTAAAGTTCAGAAAAAGATTGGCTGTGGAAAATCAAGAAAAAGCCACACGAAGGTGACAACATGGTGACGAGTTCCATGGCTGTACGAATTTGCTGATTGTGTTTGGTGCCTCACAAACCTACAAGCGCTCGTCCTTCAGTGCCTCCCTCCCTGTCACTCTGCCCAAAAAAGAGGAATACCAGCTTTGAGGCTTCGCTGGCCTACGATAGGGGTTGAGTCTGAGCTACAGCTCAGACTCGCTTCAAATGTGCATCTACTGGGTCCTACTACAGCCTCAAGTAAGGGGAGGGGTGCCAAACATGGGTCGTCTGCCATGGTAGAGTTTTAGAGACTAGGAAAGGCTTGGATGATGATATTTTTAAAACCTAAGGGCGCAGGGCACACTCGGTCTAGACTGGTGCCTGACGCAGAGAGGGTGCCGAAATGCAGAATGAATGGGTGATCGGAGTAATGACACCAAGTACTACACAGATACATTTGCCGTGACTGGGAGGACTCACTGGGTTGGGGGCTTTTCATTTACAAAGGGATGGGAGAGGAAGGTGTTTTTTGTTTTAGTTTTCCATTTCCACTTGGGAAGGAGAGCCAAGATATATTCTGAAATGGGTCTAGCTCCTTGCTGCTGCTTCCTGCCAAGATGCAGTTACACGGCCTTTTCTCTCTGATTTATGTCAGGTGGGTTCACGGATTCTGAGATGGGTATGTTTTCCTTTTTGATCCCGTAGTTCTGGGGGGAAAAAAGGAGCTACTCTCTCTTCTCTTAACCATTCATAGCTCTATACATATTTTCAGCACATTCCTGCTCTGAAAAATTCCTTTCCTACTAACATTTCTAGTTTGGCATCTAAGGAGAAACCAGAAACTCAAGAGAGTCAGAAATCCGGGCGTGTGGGTGTTTGGGGGTGGTGACTCTAAAGGACAGTGCTTTTAGATGGACTGAAAATAAAGGCTGGTGTTGGGACAGGTGCTGACCGTCAAGGTATTTCCACACGAGAGTTGGGGCTGCGATGCAAGGCTGAGCTGACGGCAAAGGTCCGTTGGGCGAGGTGCTCACAGGGCCAGCAGAGTTGAGCAATGAAGGTCATGGCTGTTAAGCCCAAGGGGAGGGAAAACCAGACCCAGCCGAGCTGGCCTTGAGGGAATTGTATTATTAAGCATCAGTCAGGGGGAATATCCAGCACCAAGACAACAGGTGGGGTTCCTAGAGTGATGATAGCCCTTGAGAACGTTTCTAAGCCCTTTAATAGAACAGCATACCAGATAGAGCTTCCAGAGCAGTGCACGTTTATCTGGGTCCTTTGTAGGAATATGCGGGGGAAGAGGGAGGGAGTGAGGATTTGAAGTAGGCTGGTGATCACAGTACCTTGTGGATTTATAGTCATGATCAAGTCTCCCAGGAAGGAGTTTAATTGCAATTCAGGAGAAATAATGAGGTACAAACCAACGAGAAAGGGGAAACGAACATGAGATTAAGACTCTGAAAGCACAGTTTTAGCATGGACCAAGAAGCAGAGTGGTAGAGGAGCAGTGGAGTGGGGTTAGGGGTGAGCGAAGATGTTTAACATCTCAGGACAAGCAAGAGAGGCAAAGATTAGATGGAAGTAAAAAAAAAAAAAGAAAAGAAAAATGAGAGGAAAGGAAGCAGCTATGGTCTCAGTGGAAAGAGAGCTGGGCTAGGGCTCAGAAGACCTGAATTCCAGCTCTCTGTTTACCCACTATATGAACTTATGATGTGGTAAAGCTTCTTAGCCTCAGACAGCGTGTTTCTTCATTTGTTAACGTATTAGCAATATCCACCTCACAGAGCTAGTTGTGGAGAAGAAATAAGATAATTAAAATGCTTGGTAAATCATATAGCTTAATAAAGAAAGCATTAAAGATGAGAAGAGTTGAGAAGTTAGGAGGAGGAAAAGACTAGAGAAGATTACTTGTAAAGGATAAGAAAAAAAGAGAGGTACCATTCAGCTTCATTAAAAATCACCCAGGAGATATCTGAGTTGGGCTTTTAAAAAGGAAAAGAAAACGTGCATTCTAGATCACAAGTTAGATGCGTGGTCTACTGACGCAAGAGGGAAGTGGAGGGGTAGAAAGGAGTTTCTGCGGCAGGCTTGTCATCCGCCATCCACGTGACTGGGAAAACCTCACAGTAATCCAGGCCCGTTTTCCTCACAGGAAAGTAAGGAAAATCTATATTCTGTCTCCTATTTCAGAGGGATTGTGTGGGAAATTACCAAAGAGAAAGGCCTTGAATTTATTGAAAGTATTTTCTTCGATAAAATCAGACTCTCAAATATGTAAACAAGGACTAATTCGAGTGCTTTCCCAGGGATGGCAGAGATGAACTGAGTTTGTCAGGTGAGGCCCAAAGCCAAGAGAGTGGGATCTTTCCCCATAGATGCCCCTGGATCTGAGGGACATCTTGTTCATCGAATCCCAGTCACTTTCATCTTCTCACATCCCATCAAGCATCCTTCCCCCTCTCATCACAGGGTGCAGAAGGACATCGCACTTAACACCAGTTACTCAAAGTGAAACATGAGATATCGACTAAAATGTTTCCAGTGTTCATCTGCTCTCCTAACATCTAGGGGAAAACAAAAAACAAAAAAAACCTTGGACATTATGAATTCACAGGTGAAATATTTGGAAGCCACCTAGCCTGTCCCTCCTCTGTCACATCACTCATTTGCCATCATCTATCTCAGGCTAAAAACATGTGTCTTAGTTAAAGGCCATTCCCGGATGCGTTCCCCTTCTGGAAGACGTCTCAGATTCACAAACCTTTTCACTAAAGAAATTCTTCAAATCTACCTCCCATCCTTCTCTCTGCCTTTTTGGCCAATTTCTAATGGCCTGAATCAGAGCTAACCTCATCCAGGCAATCCACCGAGTTCTGTGCCAAACTCAATTTCAAAGTCTTTTCAAGGACAAAATTATCCCATCTCGGGAAGTGTAAACTGGACCGCGCCTTAGGCTTCTATCTGCCCCAGTTTATCCTTTGAAGTCTCTTATCAGTGGAGTCCTGTCTTGAGTCTCCGTTGCCTCCCGTATGAGTAATAATACTGACCCACAGAAATTTTGAGAGGAAGAACTTAGGAATCGCAGTCCCAGTGCCCACAGGAAAACAATGCCACCCCGCCATCTCCGGCGGTGCGTTCACCTGGCAAGGCACACACGTTGCCCCAGGAAGATCATGAACATGTTGTATGACTTCCCAAGTCCCCTGCTCTCGGCTTCTTGAAGTACTGACACTAACCCAGGCCTTTGAGACCTCTTGGGATCTAGCCCTGGAGCACCATAGTCCAGAGAACATTTTAGTCCATGCTTAATGACCTTTCTATCACTGGAGGGCCTAGAAGCGCATGCTTTGCTCTGATGCTCCAGCCAAGTGGACCAGGAACTTAGAAAAACTGACTTCAAGGAATCCCACTTCATGACACTCTTTTGCTTTAACCCAGACTAATCACTCCAGCTTCCTTCCGTTAAGCCCTCCATTCACTTGCGGCAATGGAGAATCAGCGGCTCCAGCACGTGTTCAAAGCCGGGTGGAGCACAGGGTGGGGGGGGTCCAGTTGGCATGGGAGCTGCTTGCTTGACAGCAAGGGCAGGCTGAGGTTTGAGTCGTGTAGAAATGTTGGCTCCTTGGTTCTCGCAAAGTCTTGTGTGTGGAGGTCTGATGGAGTTAGCAAGTCAGAGGTGACAGTTCAGAGGTGAGTGGATGTATGATGAATGAACTGAAGGATGGACGTGTGAAGGGAAGTGATGTGGCCCCTGGGGCACCCTCCTGACGCTGTTGACATCACTGAACATGGGGTAGCCAGCGCTTCAGTGTTCAGGCCACCTACCAGTGATAAAACAGCTCACTGAGAATTGCCAGCCCAGTCCAGCCCAGCCAAAGGCTCTCTGCCCTCATCCACGATCCTTACATAGGAGGGAGAATGGGGAATTATTTTTTGTCACTGTGGGTAAGGAGTTCAAGTTGCCCCAACACTCAGGCCAAAGCAACTCACCTTCTGAAGGACTTGAACCTCGCACAGAGCTCTGACTACTTGGGCATCAACTTAAAGAAGTACGCTGAGGGTGGGGATTCTGGGTAGGGTAGAAATCTAAGGGACCAAATCTAAAGTCATTTTGGTTTGTGGGTGTCAAGGTCACTTGTACAACCTGCCTCCTTATCTACCTGCCCCTCCCTTCCCTGTACATCACCTCCGGTTGCCCCCTCCTATTCCTCCACTGGTACCGCAGAGTTCTCTTTGTTCTCCGATGGGATCGCCAGGTAGTCAGACCTGTTGGAGGAGAGACGGGGGAAGAAAATCAGTGCATTTGTACCCAGAGGTGCCAACACAGGAAAAGGGAAGGAGCAAGGGCCCCAGGAACAAGGATGTCTCTAGAACACCTCTGCTCTTCTTTCTCACCATGTTACCCAAGAGAAAATGAGAATGGCCCTTTCAGCAGACTAGAATAATAAATACTTTTGTTTTTTCCTTCCACCAGCAACGTATGAGTCTTCTCATTTATCCACATTGTTCTCAGGACTTAGTACTGTTAGATTAAATCAGCCAAACTGATGGATGGGAAATTACATTTTATAGATCTTTTAATTTTCCTTTCCCTGATTACTGGTGAAGTTGAGCATCTTTTCATAAGTTTATAAGCAATTTGGGTTTGTACTTCTGCAATATGACTTCATTTGCTTTACCAGTTTTCCTTCTGAGACATTTGTCTTTTTCTTTGATGATTCCATGTCTTGAAAATATCTTTCTTTTTCCTCTTATAATTTATTTATTTTATTTTTGGCTGTGTCGGGTCTTCGTTGCTGCGCGTGGGCTTTCTCTAGTTGCAGCGAGCGGGGGCTACTCTTCGTTGCAGTGCACGGGCTTCTCATTGTGGTGGCTTCTCTTGTTGGTGGAGCATGGGATCTAGGTGCACAGGCTTCAGTAGTTGCGGCATGTGGTCTCAGTAGTTGTGGTTCGTGGGCTCTAGAGCGCAGGCTCAGTAGTTGTGGCACACGGGCTCAGTTGCTCCACGGCAGGTGGGATCTTCCAGGACCAGGGCTCGAACCCATGTCCCCTGCATTGGCAGGCGGATTCTTAACCACTGCACCACCAGGGAAGTCCAGTATCATAAAATCTTTACTCTAATAGCTGTATAAGAAATCTTTATATCTGACAGGAAAACTCCTACCAGCCACCTCCCCCAAACTTATTGTTCTTTGAAATAGGCAAACTATGGCCCATGAGCTAATAAAGGCTGTTACTTGTTTAAAGGGTTGCACACAAACAAAACGAAAGAACAATAGGGGACAGAGACCCTCTGTAGCCTGAAAAGCCTAAAATATTTACTATCTGACCATCCTCTGGCTTAGACTAGTTTTAGCCTCTGGGCTTCTGTATGACTTTTAAGATCCGCTTATCAAGTTCCTTGAACAATCCATTGGGTATTTTGATGGGAATTTTACTGAATTTGCAGATTAATTTGGAAGAGAATTGCTATGTTTGTAACAGTGAGGTTTTAGTCTTCAGTTATTTAACTCAAATCTTTCAGTAAAATTTTGTCATTTTCTCCTTAAATATCTTACACGTTTTTATCAGATTTATTCCCAGGTACTAGAGAGTATTTGTTGCTATTGTAATTGAATTTTTAAAAATGTTTTAAATATTGAGATGTTTCTCTAAATTTTTGTGGCTGGAATATAGGTGCTTTTATATTTATATTTATAAATATTTTGATTTGTATCAACAATCTTATGAAACGTTCTTACTAGTTCTAATAGTTTGTCTATAGATTCCTTTGGATTTTCTATGTAGGTAATCATATTGGCTGTGAATGATAATTTAGTTTCTTTCTTTACAATTCATACTCTTTTTTTTTTTTGTATTTACTTAGTGCACCTAGGATCTCCAGTATAGAATAGAAGCAGGTATCCTTGACATATTTCTAATATTATAGGCAGTTCTTCTAAAGTTGCCGCATAGATATTTGCTGTAGGTTATACTAGTTGCTGCCATTAATCCGTTTAAAGATGGTTGGTGTTTAGGTTTAGACTTATATGTATTTCTCTTGCTCAGGACACATTGTGCTACCCGAATCTGAAGAGTCATACCTTTCCTTAGCCACTGTATCTCTGAATATTGTCTCTCCTCCATTTTCTCTCTTCTATGCTAATCGATCTTCTCAATTTTTGTCTTCCTATTTCTTTGTGATATTCCCCCTTTTTATATCTCTGTGCTTCATTCTGTGAAACTTCCTTATGTTTATCTTCTGGTCACCAGTATCCAATCTCTGGTGAACCAATCCATTGAGTTTTGAATTTTATTGACTGTATTTTTCATTTCCAGGTTTTTCTTTACTCCTGTTCAAATCTGCCTGTTCTTTTTTCTTAATAACTTATTGTATTCTTGTGTTTCGGTTCCTACTCTTGTTTTAACTCTTTTAAGCAAATTTCTTTTCTATATTCCACCAGGTCCTTCTTGTGTCTGAAGCTCCCGGGGTTTAATCCTGCCGTCTGTTACTTCTCTTGCTCATGCTGGATTATTTCCTGCTGTGTCTTTTAGTTTTGGATGAGACTGTGGAATCAGATTCAGCAATGCTTTATCTGGGGAGCACTGTTAAGCCTCAGCTAAAAGCGGGTCCCTTCAGAAAATAGTTTTTCATTTGCGTCTACATGGTTATCACTGTCTGGGGACTAATTTTTTTTTTATTGACTTTCTCAGCTTAGAGGTTCCTGGATCACGTGGGTAGCATAAATTTAAATCCCAAACGTTGTGAGAGCAGGCTTGTGGTTACCGGTTCTCAAGAATCTTTTATGTTTCTACTTGGAGTCAGGCCAGGTAGATAGGTTTCCTTGGCTTTTCTCTGGGCTGGTGGACTGATGATTATTTACTGATCTATCTTTTGCACGAGCTGTAGCCCTCTGAGGATCCTGGTTCTGCTGGTGACCTCAGTTCCAACTCTGTTTCTTGTGCAAGGCCAGCTGTGGGTACTTCCTGTCCAAGTGTGGGCACTTCCTGTCCAAGTGTGGGTACTTCCTGTCCAAGTGTGGGCACTTCCTATGCTCAAGCACTGAAATCTGATCACCCAGGTCACCAGGAATGACAACTTCCCCAGCATATCCTTTCTTTCCTTCTATCTGGTCAGTTATAATTTTTTACTTTCCTGAGATCATAGATTTCATGAAAAATGATACTTTATCAAGCATTTCTAGGTGATAATAGCCTAGGGTTTTTAGCTTATCACCTCCACTGTGTAAATCTGTAAGGGTTATTTTCTATCTTTCCTCTCCCCAAATAACAAGCCAACATGGCCCCTTAGACTCTCAGACCCCATCACCTGTTACCTGTGCTCGAGTGACTAGGGCCTTGGCGAAAATGGCCAAGGTACAGTCCAGACGTTGGAGCAGAAGAGCCCGTCTCTGGGTTTTCAATCACGGCCAAGCTCCAGGGGGAAGAACATGTTTGGAGCTCCTTAGCTAATAGACGGCAGAGCCCAGGTGGCCTGATGAGCTCTGTGGTTTACAGCAAACAGCTGAATGTGTCGGGAACAGCAAGGACACCAGACAGGCTTCGGTTCAAATCCCAGCCTCTCCTCTCATTATCTTTGTGGCCCCAGCAAGCCACTTAAGCTCTTTGAACTGCTTCAGCATCTATAAAATGGTCATAATAATGCTAATGTCATGGGATTGTGGTGGCAGCGGATGGGCTTTACATAGTGGTTAAGAGTGCAGGGCACGAGGTAGCAGGCACGAAGTCAAACTTGGCTTTGCCTCTTATAATGGTCTTGGGCAAACTTTCCCAGGCTCAGCTTTCGCATCTGTAAAATGGGTATATTCATGCTGCCTACCTCAAACGTTGTTGTGAGGAAAGTGGAGGACTGTGTAAATTGCTCACCACCTCACCCATGAGAGCGGGCGCTCGGAAGGGGCGAGCTATCATTATTTTGGCATCTTTGGACTTACGCATTTTCTTGGGCTGCCTCTTCGGCCTTTGAGACCTTCCTGTAGCAATATATCATCTCGATGAGCAGCCACAGAGTGAGGAAGACCAGGAGGATGTACATCATGATTTCTGAGACCACAGAGGTGAAGTCTTCTCCAGCTGCAAGGGGGGGAGTGAGGCTCACAATATGCATGTCCCACAAACCCAGAGCTGTCCCTGAGGTCTGAGATACACGAAGCCTATTTCTAGGTATGTCTTAAATAAGCACTGGGTCTAAAGGAACGCAAGAGGGTACCAATGAGATTTAACATCCCCTAATTCTCCTGCCTGTCCGCTTGCTCACTAACTTTCTTCAGATGCTCTGGAGGGAGGCATGAGGGAGAATGATGGGTGGAGGAAGAAGTTATAGAGCTGGAAGGAATCCTGGAGCTGAGATACATGCAGCCAGGTCTCAGTTTTCCTACTTCCCGGTGTGTGAACAGTCATTTCCCTGATTTGAGACTCAGCTTCTTAATTTGTAAAGTGAGGGTAATAATTCATACCACACATTACCTGATGTATTAAGGATACCTTGGGACATGTAAAAGTCTGCACAGGTGTGACGCACATGTCTTAGTTGAGCCGACTCTGTCCTCTGAGCTTAGGGTGGCGGAGTGTGGTACCCCCGGGAAGAGGGCGTCGGAAAACATGGACAGGGCCACGTGGACAGTGCCGTCAGCCCACCCAGTGACCTGAGCATGTCTGGATGAGAAGCAAGGACGTTCCCAGCTCATCTTCCCTCCAAGTCATTCCAAACCCAAACAGAAATGAGGGTTGGAGAATTCCACATATGAACCAGGCTGTCCTCAGAGTTCTACTTCCGGAGCACAGATCTGATCCTGCCATATACCTACTGAAAACCTTCCAGTATTCCACACCACCCTCAGCATAGAGACCTGACTCTCTTAACAGGGCACAGGAGGCCACTCGCCGTGCAGCCTTCCTCACCTCATTTCCATTCAGTTGGCCAGCAAAACCTCTCTACTCATACACGCTGTGGTCTTTTGGAATCTGTGGACGTTTCTTCTTTCTCTTCCCTCTTCCTAGATTGTATCTCACACCCCAGTGCTACCTCTGTCCCAACATCGCCTCCTGCTTTTCAATCTCCCAACCATTTTTCTAGACTCCACTGAAGTCACCTCCTCTGTGAAGCCTTCCTCAACTTCTCGTGCAGTTATTATTCACGTTCTTCTCCAGGCACTTTTCCATCCATCTATTATAACACTTCTCAGATTGTACTGTGATGTATTTATCTCTCTTCTCTACTGACTGTATGCTTACTAAGAACATATTTATTTCTGATTTATCAGCCTGTTGCCTAATCCTAGAATACTTGAAGTATTCAATAAGTATTTGTGGAATGAATGAATGAATATAAATAAATATTGATCTTCCTTGTTTCCTAACCAACAAAAATGACAAATAAAACATGGTAGGGAATTCCCTGGCGGCCCAGTGGTTAGGACTCGGCACTTCCACAGATGGGGCCCAGGTTAAATCCCAGGTTGGGGAACTAAGATCCCACAAGTCGTGTGGTGCAGACAAAAAAAAAAAAAAAATTTTTTTTCATTTAAAAAAAATAAATAACTGAAACATAATACATGGCAAATGTCCCGACATATATTCCTTCCTAGTGGCAAGGAAGGCTGCAGCCACATCTCCCTTTGCTAGCTCTCAGCAGCAAATTAGATTCATGGTTATTCATAGGGCATAAGTCATCCTCAAGGCCTTGCTCATTAAAAGCACAATATAGGCACAGCCATGACCTTCACCTCAGAGAAGCAGTCCAAGGGCTCCAGGATCACCCAGGTTTCCTAACTGGAGCTGGAGGCCACAGATGCAGCTTGAGGTACAGGAGAATGCCAGACACATCAAATGTCTTTTCACGGGCTGACAACGGTCTGGTTTGCGATGTGCTCAACTTCAAGCACCCTATTTCTTTCTTTTTTTTTTTTTCGCGGTACACAGGCCTCTCACTGTTGTGGCCTCTCCTGTTGCGGAGCACAGGCTCCGGACGCGCAGGCTCAGCGGCCATGGCTCACGGGCCCAGCCGCTCTGCGGCATGTGGGATCCTCCCGGACCGGGGTACGAACGCGTGTCCCCTGCATCGGCAGGCGGACTCTCAACCACTGCGCCACCAGGGAAGCCCCCCTATTTCTTTTTAAATGCAGTAGCCAGAAGTAGTACCCCAGGAAGCTGTCCTCAGTAGCTTTATTTACCTCTAGGCGAAGAGAACTCAGATTTCTGTCTTAGAGCCAGGAGGTGAGAGCCTACGCCAGGATCAGTCCAGCTTGAGCAAAGAGAAGCAGGGAGATTCTCTGGGACCACAGGGATGGAGCAGACGTGGGGAATGTGTCATGGTGGAGCGTGCAGCAGTATGAGAGCAGTGAATATCTGGGGGTGGGGATGCAGAGGGCTGCCAAAGGGGTCACGGGGTCCGGCGAAGAGAGAAAAAGAAAAAGTGGCAGGGAGTGGGTGGTGGTGGAGGGAAAAGATGCAGTGGAAACACAGGTAATAGAGGCAAAGATCTGGACCGCAGTCCTGCTTCTGGTGCTAACGTGCTTCATGTCCGGGCAAGCCCTCCTCTTCCAGAGCTCTGTCTCCCAGCCACAACATGAGGGCGTCAGAGCTGCACCCTCCCACCACCTGGGGAGTCATTTCAACTGACCTTCGCCAGACCGCACCCCAACCTGCTGCACTCACACCGCAGCAGTGGTATGGGGCCTTCTGCACTGAAGGAAAGCCCCCTGGGTGATTCCGATGCCAGCTCTTTGTTCAGACCCCTGGACTGAAAGACAGCCAAGCTTCCTTCCAGCCCTAACGTCCCGAGGGGCTCTGTGGCTCTGATGACAAACTTGTTTTCCCTCTGTTCTTACCCAAGTCTGGCTCTGGTGCCTGGCAGGCAGGCAGACTGGCTCCGTTTTGCCACGCTTTCCACTGGCTGCGCAAAGGTCTCTGGAGGCAAAAGCCTTTGAGAGCACAAGGTGGAGACAGAGGCAGCTTCCTAGGGCCTGGCTGTCACCAGCCGACAGTCCCGAGGATGAACAGCAGAGGGCGCCAGGCTCCCTTCCCCCGGGGGCACAGGTGTGTAAACAGAAGAGGATAATGGAACTTCTGAACAGAAAAATACCTTAGAGAGCTCCCAGTCCAACCCCCTCGATTCACACAAAAGGAGACGGGATCAAGGAGGGGGAGAGGCTCATCAGGTCTGAGCCAAGTGGCCTGAGAGTCCCTGTGCAGCATCTGGATTGACCTACCTTCCGTTTTAGTCTTGTCTAAATCATGACATCGCTCGCTCTGCTGTGCACTCTCGTTTGCTTCATGAATTTAATCACCATAACACGATAAAAAAATAAATACACTTGTGGCCTGAAAGTCGGGAATCCTGGCATCCTTTTCTAGGAAGAGCCTGGCTTTAATTTGACCTCTCCTTTCTTTCCTGCCCCACACCTTTTGCCTGTTCACTGACCTGCATCTTGGGGCAGCCATAATGCTGAGAACGTGCTGGAAATAGATCGTCTAGGAAGGGCTAAGTAAAATGGAGTCATCATTTAGCCTGGGTGAGAAAACACAAAGGGAGATGCATATATCGCTCCTCTGCCACATGAAGGAACATTTGCAAGGGGTGAGAAGCCACAGTGCTCTGAACAGTGAGTCCATGGAAAGCAGAACAAGACCAGTTCTAAGTTCACCCTCAAGATTCTGGATTCGATCGCAACAGAAACTTTTGAGTTAGCTTGATGAAAGAACTTCCCAGCCTAACAAGGAACCAGCTGTGGGAAATCGGGAAAATTTAAAGATTGGAGAGCAAACCGCGTTTCCCCTTCTCATAGCTGAAAGTGAGGTTATATAACGAGAGACGCCAAGGATGGGGAGGGGGTTTCTTGTATGACTACTGTGGAGGGAGACAGAAGACAGAGGCTGTCAGACTTTGGTTTGTAGCAGTTGTTCTCAAAGCAACAGCACTTCCTGGAAACTTTTTTTGTCATGCTCCATCTACGGAATCAGAAAGCCTGGGTTTAAGAAGTCCTGCAGGGGGCTTCCCTGGTGGCGCGGTGGTTGAGATTCCACCTACCGATGCAGGGGACACGGGTTCGTGCCCCGGTCCGGGAAGATCCCACATGCCACGGAGCGGCTGGGCCCGTGAGCCATGGCCGCTGAGCCTGCGCATCCGGAGCCTGTGCTCCGCAACGGGAGAGGCCACAATGGTGAGAGGCCCGCATAACGCAAAAAAAAAAGTCCTGCAGGGGAATCTGAGGTTGGCTGAAGTTTGAGCACCGCTAGTTCAGAGGTTTGTATGAGTTACAGACAAGAGGGTAGATGACCTCTAGAGAACCTCAGGAGATTTCTCTGAGCCCATTGAATCCGAGATTCAGTGCAGGCCAGAGTAGGTGTAACTGTCTTGGCAGTTTTAGGCTTCAGGGAGGCTGTCCTCTTTCTCTAAAGGGGAGAGTCCAGGGACCGGGTCAAGATTACTGCACTATCATCTCCAAGCCTTTCTGCTTTGAGGAAAGACACAGAGAGGCAAGCTTTCGGGCGGCTTGCAGAAAGCTGGCCGCCCCAGGAGGACAAGCCAGTGGTGACATTTTTAGATATCACCACTCCAGATACATGGGGTTTTGCATTCTGCAAGGGGCTCATTTATGTGGAAACCCGCTGTCCTCCCTCCCCCGAGAGCAGGGCACCCAAGGCAGCCTGTGCCCTAGCCTTACCCTCCTCGGTGACACGGAGGGGGATCAGCCGGGTGGTCTTCACGAAGGGGCGATGTGCCTCAAACTCAAACTCCCGGGACACGTTGCAGGTGTAGAGGCCGGAGTCGTTCAGGGTGACATTGAGCACAGTGATGGACACGTCCTGCAAGTCTTTGCTCCCATTCCACTGCAGGCGTCCCTGGAAGGGGCTCTCCACCTCCTGGTGGCCGTTCCGATACTCATAGATCTGCAGGTAGAGAAGCAGAGGGTGTAGGAGAGAAGACAGGGTAGAGGTGGGGACAGGGCGGAGAAAAGGACCAGAATGGTGCTCGGACGTGGGGACGGGGACAGTGTTACCAGGAGCTCCCAAATGTGGGAGTGGGATGGGCGTCTCAGAGGAGGGCAGGGAAGAGAGCAAAGACAGGGAAAGACGGGCAAAGGCACCCAGGTGTCGGGGCACATGGACACGGCAGGAAGAGGCGGGCAGGGAAAATGGCTGGAAAGAAAGAGGACAGAGGAAGGTGAGTGAAGTGTACAGGAGATCAGGAGAGGGAAATTGAGAGAAAGGAAGGATTGGAAGGAGGCAGAGAGAACAAGAGAGAAAGGTGTGTCATGGGGGCAGCCGGGGAGAGACTAAGGCAGAGAGGCAGCTTCATGCGTCATGAAGACGTCTGAGAGCTCTGGCCTCCAAAAGTGTCTCTCGGAGCTGGTCCCCTTGGAGGGGATGTGAGCAGTCGGGGCCAGGCCGCAGGAAGGGGACCCAGGCTGCTTAAGTGGCCCACATGAGCAGAGAGCTGCCAGCCAATGTGTACACATCAGCTCTTCCACTCTGGGCGAAATTAGATCTGAAATGTGGTCTCTACATTTCTCTTCTCAAACACTTCCACCTTCTGACATACCTTTTTTTTTGTTTCCTTCTACAGCTGTGCAGTCCATCTAGTTTCTGCTTGCCACGTGTGGCTACTTACATTAAAATTTAACTTACTAGGAATGATATAAAATGTAACATTCAGTTTCTCAGTTGCACTAGCCACAGTTCAAGTGTTCAGTGCCACCTGTGGCTGGTGGCTACTGAATTGGACAGCACGAATATGGAACATGTTCATTGTCACAAAAATTTCTATTAGTGTTGTTCTGTATTTCCAGCACAATTTTTTAAGTTTCTTTTCCTCCATCTGAGCCACCTTCTCCTCACTTTGGGCAGGCCTGGAAGCAGAGCAGGTGGCTGGCATATGAACAGACCTGAGGCTCGTGGGGACCTCTGCATCTGGTCAAGACGTCCAGGCTCCTGTAACCTACGCACTAGCCTCGGTTGCGGTCAGCCCTGAGCCAGGCGCTAGGAAGCCTACTGTCCCAGGCCTGGCACCTGAGTGCAGCAAAGCCACATCAGAATGGCACATCCAGCCTAGAGTGAGAAATGAGTCCAGCTTTAGGAGAGCTAGACAGAAGGGCAAGCAAAACTCAATTTCATCCTAATGTTGTGTCTCCATTAGGTCTTCGTGGGGAAAAACTTGCCCCCAGGAAGATGAGGCAGTGCAGTAATAAGCGCTTTGTATCTGCTGTCAGACGACCTGGTTCAAATCTAAGCTGTCTCACTAACTTAATTTCTTTGACCCTTAGTTGCCCCATTTGTGTGTGTGTGTGTATTCTCTATCAAACACTTATACAGTACTTCTTATATTCCAGAACTATTCTCAACGCATTAAAAATTATAGCACATGAGTCCTGGTAACAGCTCTGTGAGGTAGCTATGGCTTATATCCCCATTTTAGAGATGAGGAAACTGAGGCACAGAGAGAGAGGTTAAGCAGTTTGTCCAAGGACACAGAGTTAAAATAAGTTGTGGAGTCAAGAATCAATCCCCATGGGCTTCCCTTGTGGCGCAGTGGTTGAGAGTCCGCCTGCCAATGCAGGGGACGTGGGTTCGTGCCCCGGTCCGGGAGGATCCCGCATGCCACGAAGCTGCTGGGCCCGTGAGCCATGGCCACTGGGCCTGCGCGTCCGGAGCCTGTGCTCCACAACGGGAGAGGCCACAGCAGGGAGAGGCCCGCGTACCGCAAAAAAAAAGAATCAATCCCAGGCAGCCTGGCTCCAAAGACAGTGACAATGTGAATAATGGTCATCCCCAAGTTGGTGTTCAAAGTATATAACAACCATTTTGGCACTGGCACCAACCAATCAGAACTGACATTGGCCATGGCTGATCCCTTAGTTCCCACATCGTGGGAGGTCTGGAGGTTCCTAGTGGGAAGGATGGTGATGAAGCCACTTGGGAAATTTGGCACAAGTAACCACTATAGGACTATTTAAATATGTTACCCACTGATGTGTGTGTACCAGTTGCACATCAGTCTTGGTCACGCCCGACATTCTTGTTTCACTGAGATTGTGAGACTGAAATGAGGTAACCTATGCTATCTCATTTAATGACCCTTGGAGTTATTTCAATGTTTCTGTGAATTTAATCCATCCAGCAGGATGGTGCAGAGATTCGATGAAAACACCTGCACAGTGCCTAGTGGGGTGACTGGCACACAGTAGGCTCTAAATACTATTCATGCCTTTCTCCTCCTTACCCTGCCTGTAACCGGGAGTGCCCAGAGCTGGCCTGGAGCCCTCCCTTTCCCAGAGGCTGGGCTAAACTAAGGCTGTCAGTAATCTGCAGAGGAGCTGTCAGTGCTTTGGAGAGAAAGAGCCAGTGTTTGTCAGATCGTCATTCCCCAGGCTGTCGGGAGCCAGGCACACAATGGCAGAGGCCAGCGGAAACAAAGGGCAGAGTCAGCAGTCAGACATACAAGGAAATCTTTACCGCCCTCGGGCCTGTAGAACCATTCCACCACCGTGGTGGCCTCAACGTCCTCCCTCTTCATGCAGGAGATGCAGCGCAGCTTCATGGGATTGCCCTGAACCGCCTCCGTCTCCGAGGGTACTTCCACACACACAGGGGAGCAGACGCCAGCTGGGGAGAGCCCAGACGCCAGGGAAGGGACAGGAGGTGTTAGGGGAGAGGCAGTGGAGAACAAGGAGGGAGGGAAGAGAGACAGAGAAGGCAGAATCATGAGACAAACTGGAAAACAGCATGCACGTGTACGTATCTCCCCAGGTACACCCTCTCACCACGGGCAGGGATGAGCCAGCATTGACTGCAAGCCTCCCCGGAAGCAGCAGGGATGCGGTACAGCTCGTACCTCAGCTCTGCCCTCAAGGACTTAGAGTCAAGGTGGGAAACAGGGCACCCATGCATCCATCCATCAACCACCCATGCACCCCTTCATTCCACCAACACCCACAGAAATCTACTCTATGCCAGGCCTGACGCTGAGATACAAAGATGAATAAAACACGCTTCACGCCCTAAAGACATTTATAGTCTAGCAGGGAACACATACTCCTGTCATAAAACCAGACCATGATGAGTGACATACTAGAGGAGAGGCAGTTACTCCTGGCTGGGCTGGGAAGAGAGGAAGAGAACGATGGTGAGACTTAAGGCCAGAAAGGTAGATCGGACCCATGTTGTGAAGACCTCTGTATGCCCTTCACAATAGGAGGGGTCACATGTTTTAAAGCCTTAGAGAGATGTAATCATATCTGTGTTTTATGGCAAATGTAGGTGATTCTGGTGCATGGTGGAGGACGGAGCAGCAAGGAAGAGAATGGTGAGCTGACCCTGGGGCTGGGGCGATGATGCTTCACCCAAGGAGGAGAGAGAGACACACAGTTAAAAATGAGGAAGGGGAAAAAAATTAAAAAAATAAAAAAGTAAAATAAAATAAAAACAAAATTTAAAAAGTAAAAAACAAAAAAAGGGGGAGTTAGATTGGGGGGCACCTTGGAGGCCACCCGCAGGCCTGGACTTATAGTTCCTGCCCTCTAGAAACTCATGGCCCATTAAAGAGGGTAAGTACAGCAGACTGAAAATTCAGAATGAATCAAAAGCGGGACGTGGCTGCCAAGAAAGCAAGTGCAAACGTGGGCTGCGTTATCAGATGTACACGGCAGGACAAAGGAGGAGCAGTTCCCCGGTGCAGTTCAGAGCAAATCTGGACCACTATGATCAATTCAGGGTGTCACATCGTACGAAAGGAAGTTTTCAACGAGTGCATGTGCAGAGGAAAGCAAGATGGAGAAGGGTCTGGGGGCAAAGTCTGGTAAGAACAAAGCGGGGACCGGGAGGGCTTAGCTTGAACACCGACGCACCTGTCTTCAAATATTTGAAGGTTGGCCTGTGGAAGAGAAAATAGATTCTTTCCAACTGCAAAAGTCACATGAAAGTAAAGCTAACTCAATTAAAAAAATTTTTTTTTCTGGTGCTGGAGCTGTTAACGAATTCGAAAGACTCTTTGGTAAGAGAGTTTGCCTGTTATACAGAAGATTCAAAAGTGAGATGAATCGCCAACGATTCTTATATCAGAACTTCTAACCCCTTCTGAGGCTACCTTCTCATTAACGATAAAAACAGAACCCCTAAAAAATGAAATAATACACATAGTAATTTAAAAACTAGTCCACAGTGTACGGTCAGTCTGTTCCTCTACTGGCAGACAGTTCTTTCTAAAAGCAGAGAAAAGCTTTATTTAGAACTTAAAATGAGACTGACCGACTAACTAGGAGTCAAAAAATGAAATATTTGACTCAGAAAGCAACAAATTTAATTTTTAGACATAGAGTTTAAAAACTAGAGGCACTATGATAAAATTTAACATATCAAGGTAAAATAAATTTCATTGGCTTTAAACTCTCAACAAGCAGGGGGTGGTTTTATCAGGCAGCCTGCAAGAGGCTCTCCTGCTTCTGCATAATGGGTCATCACTTTAATCGGGGGAGGGTCCATATCTAGAGAGAACTGATCAGAAACATTTTCAGAATATGAAGAGTTTGAAAACTTGAGTATTGACCTGGTTTAAAAAAAATAAAGCATGGTCTGTGCAAAAGTTTGGGAGCGGATAGAGGTGTAGAGTGTGCATTGAGAACCCCATGTAGCAGGGAGCCTCGGGGCACATTCATATTTAATGAGACTTCAGAGAAGAATACGAAAATGTACCAAGGAATGTACAGTTACGCTTATAGAGGCAGAAGAAAGACGGTATTGGGCAGCTGAAGGCTTGGGTTTGATAGACTTTTTTTTGGCCACACTGCACAGCTTGCAGGATCTTAGTTCCCCAAACAGAGATAGAACCCAGGTCCCTACAGTGAAAGCACAGAGTCCTAACTACTGGACCGCCAGAGAATTCCCAGTTTGGTAGACTGTCTAACCTCTCTGAGACTCAGTCTATGCATCAACAAAATGCTGAAAATAATATTTATCTAATAGATGTGTCATGCAAATTCTATGGGATGATTTCTACGAATGTGCTTTGTACATTCGTTAATGTTATTTTCCTTCATTTATTTCTTCACTCTTTCAACATATATCGAGTGCTTATTGTGCGCCAGGCACTGCTCTAGGCACTGAGAACACAACAGGGGACAAAACAGAAACCATCCCTGCTCTCATGGAGCCCACATTCCAGTGGAAGGTGAAGAAAATAAGCAACATTAAACTGCAATAAGTGCAATTATAAGAAAAAAATAAAACAGAATAGAGGAGTTAGGGTGTGCATAGAATCATCAGAGACTCACTGAGAAGGTGACGTCGAGCAGGTGTTGAAGGAAAGAAAGGAGGGAGCAAGCTGTATGAATATCTGTGTGAAGGTGTGCAGAGGAGATAGCAACTCGAGAGCCCTAGGGTGGGAGTGTGTTGGCAAAAGCAAAAAGCACAATAAAGTACAGGGCACAAAGTGAGAGTAGGAGGAGATGAGGCAGGAGAAATAAGTCAGAGCCGGATCACGGCTGCTCTTCCAGCCCACAGTTAGATCTTTGGCTTTTGCTTTGAGTGACATGGGAGCACTGGAGGCTGCTGAGTGGAAGAATGACATGATTTATACAAAATTACCTGATCTGACTGCTATGTTGGGAATAAACTGAAGAGGTGAGGAAGGATAGGGTGGAAGCAAAGAGAACAGTTAAGAGGCTGGTACAGTGATCAGACTGAGAGGTGGTTCAATGACTTTGCTTAGATGAAGGGAACAGTAGAGCTGCTGGGGCTTGAAAGTGTATAGTTTGCTGGACTAACATCCTTGAATAGGTGAGAGGTGATAGCCTCTAGTGAACAAGTAGATGAGTTGGTCTTAAATATAAACACGGTTAGTTCATTTAGAGTTAAAGGAGGGAAGGCAGAATACACGCAGTCAGGATGGTGAGTAGGGCACAGCAGCCTCTCTTTGTTCTGAGTTGCCCCTGAGTAATCCAAGGTATCATCAGACAGCAAGCCCCACTGATCGCCTTCTTGCCAAAGTCCGGTATGAAGTCCTAAGAAAGAACTCAGCTCATGAGGTCAATTTAATTCATGAGGTCCTGGAAGGAACATTGCAAAATGGCCACAGAATCCTCTCATCCTTGTTTGCCTTCCTTTGCGATATGACTCGCTGCTCCTTCCACCAAAAGGTAAAGTATATTTCTTCACCCTGTAAGTCTCCAGTACACTATTGCCTCTCTTTCCAAGAAATCCTCTAGATATCCAAGAAAAGATTGTACATATGGTCGACATTCAACCCACATTGCTGACTGTGAATAATAAACTCCTGGAATAATCTTGGCCAAATCATTTGACCCATGGTCTCCTCTTCAATGTCTATAGTAATAATGAGGAAACCAGAGAAGGAAGAAAATATTAATTATGATTATATTTAACTAAGGAATAGCATCAATCTATTATCAGGTGGATAGTAATGTGTATGTAACCAACTCCTCTAATAACCCCAAATCTTTTTCTTCTTTGGTTATTGCTATATTGCTCCTCTTAACTTTGCTCTGCAATGCTAAGAAAATAAAGGCTTTGATTAGAATGTAAATACTTTCCAAAGGGGGGTGATAAATGATGTTATTTGTAGATATTAACACCCTGAAATGACTTGGTCTATCAGATTAGCCAGTCACTTAGCAGAGCCTTGAAAGAATGGGATGTAAAATGGGTTACTGGGGGAAGAGAGGAAAACACTCCCCAACACAACCAACACCTGGGAGAGGAAAATCAGAAAAGACACTAGGAGGTAAAAATGAGTAAGGCCCTAGGAAAGGCAATGGCATGGGAGAGGAGTGGAAGGGTGGCTCCAAAGAGGGATGAGAGGACAGACGCCAACCTGGCAATCCTGTATAGCAGCACACATGTCCATAAGAGGAGCTAGAACAAGCCCTGGAAGACTGAAATCAAGAGGTAAGAGTTCTCTAGCAAGTCCTTTCCCCTCCACTGCACTCATTTTCTCATCTCTAAATTGGAAATAATACTGCTTTCCCTGACTACCACCATAGGATTGCTATGGGGACCAAAAGAAGAAATAGATTGAAAATTGCTTTGTAAACTGTAAAGCACAAGGCAAGTGTAGATTCTATTATTATTATTATTATATACTTTATTGAAGGAAATAAGGGAATTTTGTTCAATTCACGCAGAAAATAAAAGAATGGAAAAAATTCCATTCATATTGGGAAGGGTGAACACATCTAAGTTAAGTGCTTTCCAATGCTGGAATTACATGCAAACATTACATTACCCTACCATTCAATTGTGCAGCTCAAAGGGACGTTAGGGATCATCCGCCCCAATTTCCAAACTTATGTATTTCCAAATATACGTATATGAGGAACAAAATACTCTAAGGTTATTACACAGCAAGCTAGTGGCAGAGCTAAGACTCCAATCCAGGCTTTGTAAGTCCTAGTCAAAAGGTCCTTGGCCTATAGAGTGCTCTCCCCCTCCACTAGAATTCAGGCATATATGCTAAAACTTAAATTAGGGTTTGGGAAGAAAGGCTCTTTAGAATCTCTCCCCAACCTTCTCTACAACTTCATCTCTCATTGCTTTACTCATGCTCTTTCTTATACAGCCCAACTAACCTCTCCTAAGCCCCCTAGTCTTAGCCTCCCCCTGAGGAAATCACAGCCTTAAGTCTTCAAGGCAGGTGAGATCATTGGCGATCTATTATGTCTGCTTCATCTTCAGGTCTGGTTGACCCTACTGGGGATGGGTGGCGGTGAGTCTGCCCTTGGGACTGGCATTACTCTCCCTCTTTGTCCTTCCCAGCCTGTCTCATCAGGCATTTTGTTCAACAGGAAGCTTGGCTCTGCTTCTGGTCACATGCAAAATCCAGATAATGCTGGCAGCCAGAGTTAGTCCTGGAGGCTTAATAAAGTGATACTAAGGTAAAGAGGCTGTTCCCATCAGCATATCTGCCACTGCACCAGCAGAATGAGTTCCCTGCCAACCACAGAGCATAATCCTATACCCAGTTTCAGTAAGGCAGGTGGGCATGCTCACATCTAATTATACTGGTTATTGATTTTTAACATGGAGGAATGTAGCTAAGATCATGTAAAGCAATTATCAGCTGGAGAGCACCTATATTTGACCTGAGGATCTAAGTTGCCAAGACTGAGATGCCCATAACTACACAACAACCACACACACACACACACACACACACCTACTACATCCTCATCAATCCATGCAGATGCCCATGCCAACATGCTCTGACATACACTAGCATACACATTCAGACCCTGAGGCATACATCAACACAGTAAAGCATTCTCTCAATCACACATTCAGACATTATCATGTAGACTCATTAACTCCCACTACACACATGCAGACCCCACTCCAAGCCCATCTCTAACACCACTCTGCTCAGCCTTACTGTTTCAAGTATAGGATTCCCTTATTTGGAGGGAGAAGGTCACCTCACTCCTTCACAGCAGACAAACAAGAACCTATTTATCTTTAAAGGCAAAAAAACTCAGCCCCCCAAACACCAACGCACCTTAATTCCACATGTTCATGAAAAAGAAGAAAGATGCAATTCCCAGGTGCCTATTTATCTAATATATCGCTGCAAATGGCTGAAGCCTGTTTTACTTATTGAAATTAAACAGATGGATCAACAACTAGTTTCATTCTCAAAATGCACGCATCCAGATTTTTTTAATATATAAAAATTAATTCAAAGACCTCATTGAGAAATGAAATGTAACGGTAACCGAGATTTTTTAATAATGAATGTGACTGCATGCTCTTTCAGCTACGGGAAAGGGAAAAAAATACTTTGAAATTAACAGGAAACGGGAGGAAGGGTGGAAAAACCACCAAGGGAAGTTCAGGAATAAAGCAGCACGGGAGTGGGGAGGCCTTTTTCCAATCTCAGAATCCCAGCTCTCATGGAACCCCTCTGGATCCCGTATCTGGCAGACATGCACAGGGGGAAGTCAGCCAGGGCTCCTCGTTTTCACCAACGACATCAATAAGTGTTATTACTGTTAGCATTATTACTGTCATCTGCATCTCGCATGGCAGGGTGCTGGTACTTACCCCACAAAATGAGCAGGAGGGAAGCCAGGGGAAACAATCTGTTGAAGCCAGGCATCTTTTTCAGCGGGTGGCTTCCGGGGCTAAACAGAGAGATTCCCTGGGTCAACAAATGCTCCCTCTCAGTACTTTCGAGGAAACCCTCTGGGACGAACTGCTCCAAGGGAGCGACTTTCTGACTGAAATAAGGGCCAAGTGCCGTTTACTGGGGAGGCTCTGCGGGCTTCTTGAGCCGGGCGGGGGTTTCAGCTCCAAGCCACTCTGGCGGACTGCCCCAATTCGAGGGAGTGGATCGGCAGCGTGGCGCGCCCTCCCCGGAGCCCGTTGCTGGGATCCGGATCAGCACCACGGACAGAGCCTTCCCCGCCCACCCGGAACTTCCAATTCCAGTCGCTCAGCTGTTTCCCCTGTTTGCACCTCGGGGAAAGCTCAGCTCCGAAGTGAGCGGCAGGCAGGCTCTAGGCGGCTGAGCTGCCGGAGGGGTCCCTGTTGATCCATCTCTCACCTCCCTACTGAGAGTTACGCTCCGACCAGGATCCACCCAGACCCGGGAGCGCCGGCTTCGTCCGCCCTGATCGCCTTCTCCAGCTGGGCCTGCCCTCACACCCGAAACCACCGGGGCTGCCGTCTGAGCTACAGAACTCGTTCCACCTCAGTCCAGTCCACACCCGCCGAGCCTCCCCGGGGAGGTCCGGAGGGGGGCCAGGAAGGAGGCGGAAGCTTCTGTGCGGCCTGCGATCGAGAGGTGGGGTGGGTGGGCCCCGTCCCCGAGCTCGCCTGCAGATCGTGCAGGGGCCCAGACCCTGCGTGGCGCGTGACCAGCCGCCCTTCTCCAGGCGCCCCGACCGTGTGTGCTCCGTCAGCCTTGACATGCGCAGGCGGCTCTCCACCGCCACCACCACCACTTACCCCCCCCCCCCCCGCGCCAGTGCAATACTCCCCACCCCCAAACAGGCGTGCCCCTCTCAGGGCCGAGCGCGGCTGCCGAGCGCAGGGGCGGAGCTCGGAGCGGCGCAAAGACCTCAGCCCCCGCGATTTCTCTGCTCGCCGGCTGACTCCAGGTCTGCCTTTCGCATCTCCACACCTCTCCCCAGCACCGGCACGCCTCCTCTCACCAATTCACCGCCCCCACGCCCCCGCCCAAGCAACCCCGCTTTGGCTCCTGCACAGACATGCGAGCTTCCAGCTCCGGGAAGAGGAGGGCCAAATCTCTTTCAATGATGTCATCTTTAATGTACATGCTACATGGCTCCTGGCTTCTCTCCCCCGACCCCATCCCCTCCTGGTATATCCTTTGTCTAGCCTTGATTAATTGGTACCGGGCACCCTGAACGCAGCAAAATAATCCCTGCTTAGAAGTGGGGTAAGAGGGAGGGGCACCTGTTCCCGTGTTCACCTCCTCACTGGCTGAGGAGGTGATCCAAACGTCTGTGCAACAGTGGTGTTGGGGGTGGAGCAACTCCCTCTCGCTCTGCTCACTTTTTTGTTGTTGTTGTTAAGTTTAAAAGCAGATAGACTGTGGTTTGGCTTCTTCCAACTATTAGCCTCACCCTAGTCCTAGCAGCTGTTTCACTGCCCCTCCCCATCCCTGGAAGGGAAACCTGAACGTTTAAATTTAGTTATAAACTCAAATTGACATAATAGATTAGGAATGCCTGGAACCGAGTGAAAGATTAATACAAGAACCTCTCCCCCCTTCTCATTCCCTACTGCTCCCTTTCCAAAACGGGAAGCTTGACACTGATATTCCAAAACAGAACGGCAGAGTAACAGCTGACGGTAAGTGAACCATGTGCAGGAAATTCTCCCTCCTAACATATCACAGAGCAACAGAATGTCCTTCTTCCTGGGCAGGGAGCCACCAGGCCATACTCTGTGTTGCTTTGAAGACCAGCCCTTGAATCACAGTGTGTTAGACCTGGATGAGAAGTTAAAGACTTAATTCAACTTCCTTTCCTATTCTTGAATCCCCCAAGGACATTCCTGATGAACAGCCTTGGCCTTTGTCAGGAATGAGAGCTCACTACTTCACAAAGTCAGTCCCTTCTAACGTTTAAGGAAGTTCTTCTTCATATTCAGTTGAATTCTGTACACTCTTCCTTCCTCCCCAAACTCCATTAAGTGGTCGGCAAAATGTTTTCCTTAAGAGAGAGCTATGCTTCCCCACATCCCACCCCAGAATTTTTTGTTTGGGGCTAAGCTTCGTAAGTCTCTTCCAGTGTATTTTCTCGTAGTTTCCAACCCTTAACTACGCTGGTCACTGTCTCAGGAGGATTTTTAGTTTGTCGGCATGATACATCCAGAAGAGGGACTGATGTTTTCTGTGGGGTCTGCCAGCGTAAATCCAGGAGAATTATGGCCACAGTTGCTTCAGAGGGTACGTCTGTTCAGTTACATTTACAGCCATATCTCACTCATAATGAGCTATGGTCAGTTAAAATCCCTAAGTATTTTTCACTCAACTTGTTGCAGAGTTATCTTGTACTTATAGAGGGATCTTGTGGGGGGGGGGGACACCTCTGTGCTTATTGCTGTTAAAATTTATTAGTTTCGGGCTTCCCACGTGGTGCAGTGGTTAAGAATCCATCTGCCAATGCAGGAGACACGAGTTCTAGCCCTGGTCCAGGAAGATTCCACATGCTGTGGAGCAACTAAGCCCGTGCGCCACAACTCCTGAACCTGAGTGCCTAGAGCCCGTGCTCCGCAACAAGAGAAGCCACCGCAATGAGAAGCCCGCGCACCGCAACAAAGAGTAACTCCCGCTCACCGCAGCTAGAGGAAGCCTGTGCACAGCAACGAAGACCCAACGCAGCCAAAAATAAATAAATAAGTTAATTAATTTTTTAAAATGTATTAGTTTCAACCAATTATCCCATGCTATTAATAATTGTATTGAATCCAGATTTAATCATCCGACCTCTCTCTTCTTTAGCTTTGTTTCATCTTTAGGCTTGATAATCACTTGATCCAAACATAGATTTTTTTTTCAAATATAGATTTTTTTTTTAATGGATAGGAAAAAAAAAGAGTTCTTTGGCACGAGTTTAGAGACCTTATTCTAGTTTGACTAATTAGACTTCTTTGGTATTATTGCTCAATCACAAATAAATACCCAAACATATCTCCCTATTTTCCATATTTGTAACATAACACATTCTGAAAATTTAAAACGAAGGGTATATGTGAGAGGAATTAGACTTATAATGATCCAGATAAGAGAGATTTACATTTACATAGAAACAGATTTTCAGCAATACATTTCAAACCATTCCAAAGTGGAATGAATTACCTTTTGTTATGTTCAAGCAGCTGTTATCCAAAGAATTACTGGGATGTTGTAGAAAAAAAAAGTCTTCTATAGGTTAGAAATTTGGAACGGATTGTTGATAAAGTTCCAGTCATCTTTGAGATTCTATGATCTTATTGAAAGTCTCACCCAAATACATAGAGTGACTGAAATATTTTCAGTCTGATAATTCCATCAACCATTACACTACAGCCATCACCACTACGGCAGCAGGAACTGGCTTAATTTTACATAATTTTTTCTTAGGTCTATTTGTGCAGATTCCTAATAATCACAGTGTTCTTTTTAAAATATTTACCAATCCCATTTTATTTTTTATTTATTTATTTTTTTTGCGGCACATGGGCCTCTCACTGTTGTGGCCTCTCCCGTTGCGGAGCACAGGCTCCGGACGCGCAGGCTCAGCGGCCATGGCTCACGGGCCCAGCCGCTCTGCGGCATGTGGGATCTTCCCAGAGCGGGGCACGAACCCGTGTCCCCTGCATCGGCAGGCGGACTCTCAACCACTGCACCACCAGGGAAGCCCCACCAATCCCATTTTAAATAGTCACTTTGAGGATTTTACTCCCCTGTCTCTCCTCTATTGAAAACAGGAGCATTTGGTCTCTTCAGTCCTCTGACGTTTCCTTTGATATTAGGCAGTAGCTCTCAGTCACTTTCACAAGTACCTTAAATTCCCTAAAGTACCTCTGGCCTTGTTCTGAGAGTTCTTAACTCATTTAAATTAAGTAATCCCTTCCTCCTTTCTGCCATTTTAGCTTCAATCCTTTTCTGCTGGGATTTTGTTGTTTGTTTCTTTTTCTTTTTCTACCTTTCCCAATTTGATGATTATCTTCCCCTTACAGTTGAGGGTGAAACTGTAGTTTCTAGTCTACCAACAGTAGCCAGGGCACTCTTTGTATTCTGTGAGACCACGTACCTTTCTTGCTTGAAGCCCTTCAATAGCATCTCATTGAATAATAAAATAATAAATAACATCTAGACTCCTCACCATGGTCTAGCAAGGCCTGCCCTGAGCCCTGTCTATCTCTTCACACTCACATCTGCCATTCCCTGTCTTGTCCACAGTGTTCCAGTGACTCTTGACTTTTTAAATATGTGCCTCAAACTTAACAAGCTCTTTCCCGTAATAGAGCCTTTGCACGAGCTGTCCCCTCTGCCCAGGCCGCTCTTCATCCTGTGGCTGGTTTCTTATCATTCTACTCTTGCCTTAAATGACTTCTTAGAGTAGCACTTCCTGGACACACTCTCTAAACTGGTTTCCTACCTATTTCCCCCATCTGAAGCTACTCTCTATCTCATTACCCTTTTTCTTGTTCTTCCCATCTTCTCTCACTATCCAAAATTATCTTATTTTAAATTTATGTACATACTTATGTTCTGTTTCCACCTCTCAGGATGTAAGCTCCGTGAAAGCAGCCTTGTTTGTTCTTTTCGCTGCGGTATCCCTATGCCTGGATGGGTACCAGGCAGATATTCCATCCTTTGTGAATCCTGAATGAATGAATAAATGGATGGAGGAATGAGTGAGGATAGTGCAGAAAGAGTGAAGAGCTGAGGCCATATCAGTAGAGGCAACAGAAAAAAATAGTCAAAGGAATGGGAGAAAGTCCAGAAAGACGCAGTGCCACACTGGAGAAGGGAAGAGAAAATATCTAGACTTTGGGGACACTCCTCCTCAGAGGGGACTTCAGCTAATTGTGCTCAGAGATTGGGGAAGAGGAGGGGGGAGTATGGGGCCTGAGGTTTTCAGAGATTTTGAGGTGGAGGGAAGCAATGACTCTGACAGAAAAAAAAAGAATGACATCTGAGATATGCATGGAGAAGTTAGTTTTTCCTGAGGAAAGAAACCCGTTTCACTAAGATTATTGGGGGGGGAAATTAGTAACAGTAGTGGCAGTGATGCTGTGAGTAAAGATAAAGCATGAGATCTTTATATATATATACACACACACAAAATTGTCCACTGAGAGTAGGGACAAGGAAACTGCGGACAAGAAAACCAGTCTGGAATCACCGTGGGGTCCTTCTTGACACATAGATGCCAAGAGGAGCATTTCAAGATCAACACATGCCTGAACTTAGAGTCAAGATGCAGAAATCAGAGCCCAGTGTAGGCAAGTCAAAGAAATGACCTGCTTCTGCTACTGTAAGTGAATTTTGAAAAATAGTGCACACCCCATGGGATGAGAGGGAGGAAACCTCTTTATTTTAAACTGTGGCCAAAGAGCACATATGGGACTGAGAGATATTGGGCTCCCCCAGATCTTTCCCTTATCCTGTCTGCCGGCTGTGTGGTTACTGTCACCAGCCAAGGGATGTTTGGGATTAGAACAGGAAACAGTGACATGGTGACCAGACTATGTAATCTCTTTCTGGAACTGCACATGGCGGAGAACCTGGCAGGTAAGATGGAGCCAAACAAGTTTTTTGAATAGAACTGAATCCCATCTGAATGATTAGGGAAGCCAGAACTTTCCTGACACCCAGGAGGAACCCCAGCACTCAGAACAGACCCTGTGTACAAAAACGCCAGTGTCACACTG